GCTACTTGGGTGGCGATTGAAATATTTTCTTGTTTCTTTGAATAATTTCCTTGAGTCATTATTCGGTATTTTCAGTTACTTACCGGCGCGCTAATACACAAAACAATTTGCATGTCCCTTGACGAATGTAAGGAAAGAAATGTAATCTTCTTTGAATTTAAATCCGGTTGTTCGAAAGCCGATTAACGCTAATCCAGGATTAAAAGTTAATCAAGCTTTTAATTTTTCTCGTATAATAGTGTTTTTCTCTGCTAATGTTTAGCAAAATTTGATATTAGTCAGAGTAAAAACAGAAAGACAAACTGAAATATAAACAGAAAACCTCGCTGAAAAGTTACAAAACTGAAATCAAAATTCGCGCGAATCCTGGATTAGCTTAATCGTCCTTTGAACAGCCCGGCCTGAGGAACATCTCCCATTCGAGCGCTGGCCAGGGTCACTGTTGTAACATGGTCCTTTGGGAATTTAATCTCCATGATTGAACTGGGAGGCACCCTGCTACTCTCCGGGATCTTTTATATCAAGTCGACCAAAATACATCATCGAGGAACATGGTGTTTAATGTCGATCTTCACTCCTGGCTTACAGGCAGAATGCAAAGAAGTACACTGTGTTGCTGTCTGGGAACCCAGGACTAGCATCTCATCCCGGTCTGAGAGCCTGGAACAAGCTGAGAGCGCAGTCAAACTCCTTCTGCTAAATCCCCTTGCTATGAAAAATATATAACACACTGCGCATAAGTAGTCAGCCATGAGACTAGAAATGGTGCCGGATCGAGCACACCTACAATTGACTCAGTAATTGAAGTACATTTCTAAACGCGAATCAATATTATGCATGTCACGAGAAAGCCAAAATTACTCAGCTTTCCTTTTTGATAACACTTCCTTATCGCATGAAATCAAGCCAAAGCAGCCTCGAGATCCATAAATTTTCTAAATCTTTCTTTCTCAGATAAAACAGGATGTCCTCAAGTGTAGTCCCTGGCTGATCGTGATAAGCTGGCAAAGAAACATGACTCTGCAGCCGTTTCGGGACGAGCAGTTGAACTATTTCAAGTTTGCGTTCGCTGTGCTGAATGAATTCCCCAAGGCCTTACGTCAGACGTTCAGATCAATGTGGGACGGCACCTTTGGACATCTCCCTGGTTACCAACCCTGGGATGACTCCAATGCGGTGAGAAATTCATTTCTCGGTACAGAGGGTGGTAAAACTAAAGTTCCCACAAACCTTTCTTATGATGAATGGGATTGTACCGCCCTGTTCCAGGCCACTATTTACGCGCGCTCCTTCGCTCTACCAGACAGCAAAGGCCATCGCAGGACACTCGGTGATTTGTACGTGAAGCCCCATAAATTACCTCATGGAAAGTTCCATGCATCTGTAGTGAGCCCGGGTGGAAACACTGCTGAAACATTTGCACTTGCTATTGATCAACTTCGACTTCTAAGAAATTCACTTTGCCACTCAACCAGCTCTGAGATGGACAAAGTAACATTTGACCAATACATGCAGCACGCTAAAGACGCATTTAAAGCCCTTGGAGTTAAGACAGACCCCATTGACGCCATCGGTGGTTTGACAGAGTCGGACTTTCCTACAGAGGAAGTTCGCAAATTGGAGCAAGGCATCAAAGAGGAAACACGTGCATATATCAAGTTTCTCGAGGGCGTGAGTTCAGACATCGACGAGTTAAGAGTGCTATCAACTGCAATAATGGGG